GTTGAAAGGAGTTGAAAAGCAGGAACCGCTGGGGCTGGGGGGCTCTCCGCTGGATTCCCTCCCGTCCTCCTCTCTCCACCCGGTCCTTGCGGTATTCTTAGGCTCTCTCTCCCACCTCCATTCTCTTTTCAACCCTCCCATTGCCCAAATTCCAGTTTTTCATAAAGGGAAGCAGCGTGTTGTGTATTTAAGAGAACAAGTCCCAAAGAAGATGGAGGACGAGAAAAATTCAAGCCTCCTGTGGCTTTTGAGAAATAACCACAGGTCTCATGGCCCCCCAGCCCATGTTTAAAAGAGCCCTGAGAAGAGAAATCTGTGGCTGAATGTGGTGCCTGAGAGAATGACTAAGCTCTCACGACTCCCATTCAAGAGGCATCCTGACTGTGGACCCCCACCATCAATAAGACATGAAGAAGAGGGAGAAGCAGAGAGGAGAGAGGCGCTCCCTGGAGTAAGGATGCAGGAGGCAAACAGGTCCCATCAGTCATGCTCCTTGAAAAGGGCCCACTGATTTCTTAGGACCCTTGTCTTTAAAGGCATCTTGACAGGCGGGTCTTTGAACAGTCTTTAGGATTTATATACTATAAAGCCAAAGAAGGACTTGAATCAAGTTTTTTTTTTTTTTTTAATTAAAAAACTACAATTTTAAGAGGTTTGCAGCAACTGAGATGGCAAGAAGGGGTGTCTCTTGATCTTTGCCACAGTATAAAATCTGAATGGATTTATTCTTTTATTTATGTGAATTCAAACTGATCAGATCCATCCACCATAAATCTAACGTTAACTTATCAATACGACGCCACAGTTTGGTAGACATCTCTGAACCCCAGCCTCACAGAGGCATCTCAGCAAAGGCTATTTTCCATCAAATCAGGGAAATTTCAGAGTCAGCATCATTATTAATCAGACAAGACTATTTGCTGAGCAGAGACCACACTAAGAAGATGATTACAGAGTAGAGAAAGTGTCATGTTTTCTGTGTATGTGTCGCTGACTTCAATAATACCACAAAGGGCTTGCTGCCATTTAAGAGAGATGACTAGTTCTGAAAAGATAGTTTTCAATTCTAAATGTGCAAGTTTATAAAATCATATCAGCTCTTAAACAACATGGAGAATTAGGCTGACAATGTCAATAGGTTTCACATCCATGCTCCTTAATAACTAGAAATAAGAAGCTGATGTTAAGAATGAAATTGACCATCAATTCATTCAACCTGAATGGACTATCAAGTTGATAAATACTAATTTTAATAAAAATCAACTACAGATCAGTTTTTATTATTTGACTGTAGTACTAAAAGGTTAAAAATCGCCACCCATCAATATACAGTGATCTTTGGACTGTAGGTCATAGTAAGATTTTATTTTCAGACAGAAGAGGTGGATTTAAATGCATGATCTTCAGAGTCATACATCTACTGGCCAATTAGAGACCCATGAAGCAGATGCAGTGACCGTGAGAACTGTCTGCCTGTGAGTGGAGTGGAGGTGATTACAAGAATACCATGTTTTCTCCTTAGTGTAAATATTAAAGTGACTAATTTACAAAAGTTAACCAAAAAAATGAGAAAAATAAGCTTCTCCCTTCCCCAAGTTACTAACAAATTCTTCCTGTCCTTCAGTGTTGACATGAAGAGCTATACTGCATGATTCACTCTTGGGATCCAAGAGAAAGGAGTTCAGTGTTGGAATGTTAGGCTTTGGTGCAAGCACTCAGAGGTGTGCCAGTTGGATTTCATGGCAGGAAAAGTGTGTGCGCTGATCTACAGCTTGGTTAGAAACTCCAAGCCCTGGAAACTCGGGTTACAGGGGCCTTTCTAGGCCGTGGGTAATGGGGGTTGTGAAAATCCACGGTGTTAGAGCAATACCATCTCAAGCCTCCTCGTTCAAGCCCCTGGGGAGACTCAGCTGAAAAGAGAATTTCTGGTTTTGTTTTTAGTGTAAGCATGTCCCCAATATTGCATGGGACATACTTATGCTAAAAAAATGTTATTGTGTCTTATATTTTTATTTGCTAAATCTTGAAGCCCTAGCTTAGGACCCTAAACTTAAAAGCTTAGTACCACGGAATTCCAAGCAAGTCAGTAGTTCAGGATATTGAGAAGATCACCATTTTCAGCTGAAGAAGAGAGTAAGGGAGGGGACAGATTAAACACGTCCATTAATTATGGAGCAGAGAGGTCTATTTCTCCAACCCTTGAGCTGGGGCTACCTCCATGATTCGTTTTAGCTGACAGAATGCCACAGAGATGAGGCAGACTTCTCCAGCCCGGCCTGAGAAACCCGGGGATAGTCATGCTGTGAAGAAGCTTGCTATGAAAGTCCAGGTGTCCCAACCACCCCAGCTCACAGCCCCGAACACATGAGAATCCATCTTAAATACAGACTCGGTCAAAACTGCAGTTCCCTGCAGCTTGATAGGTGAGACCAAGTGAGATCCCAGCAGATCACTGATGGAGAAAGGATCCCAGAACCAGGGAGGGGAATACCTGTTCTTCAGGAGAGGTAGAGAGGGGAGGAGAGAGAATTTCTAAGAGGTCTCATCACTCTAATAGATAGCCGGTGTCTCACCAACCCTAGAGAGGTACTTGGGTACCTAGCAGATTAAGGTGTGAGGGCAAACACCCAACTTCATGGGGTAAAAGCCAAACTGAGGGAAGAATTGAGAATGATCAAGATGACAGCCATCAGGAGAACTTGAACCTGAGCTACAAGCAAACAAGCTGAGGGCATATATCTAAAGCTCACCTTCACTTTGTCCAGGGGAAATTCTGAGATCTTTTCTATTAAAAGAAAAATAACTATAGAAGCTTTGTGACCTTTATGCACTCTCTATGGGGCTGGGTTCTAATGTTTGGTTCTGCCTGACACCAGCTTTTGGAAGAGTCACTACTGGAAAACACCTATAGTTTGTGTGTGTGTGCAAAAGGCAAGTAGAATTTATGCCACCACTGTTTATTCAAGTCTTGTTTAAAGAGGCACGCTTTAATTGCTGGAGGCCGAATGGTCAGGGGAGTGGGAGACAGAATATACACACCCCTGACACAGCACCAGGAATAGATCTAGGCTTTCTGAGGCAGACAGGCTGGGGATAATCCAATCTAGCCTACTAGGGCGGGGAGGCGGGGTGCGGGGGGTGCGGGGGGGGGGCGGGTAGCCTTTAATGGTGGCCATCCTACTTTAATACCCTTTCCTTTTCCTAAACCACTCTCTGCCATAATTCAGGCCAAGGGTTCAGGCAAACTCTCCATGGTGAGAAGGTACTGAAGACAAAAGCAAGGCAGGTCTAGTGGGACTGAGTTTAATCCTTTACGAGGTCCTTGTAAAGATTAAATGATAGGATGTGTTCATTCTAAGCATGCGGCATACAACCAGTGCTTGAGAAATGGCAGCTCTGTTATCTCTTTGTGACTTTACAGTAGGACTTAAGAGTCCTACATACAACTGCTTTCAATTTAATGATGCATATGATTATATTTTTTATCCTGCAATTGCTTGATAACAGAGACTATATTTTATTTTTGTGTGTGTGGCGGTTTATGACAGGTAGTTCCTGTGAAGTACCCCACAAATATTTGATGAATGGATGAATGAGTAAATAGAATAAGACACATTTGCTGAACTGAATAAAAAGAGGAATAAGAAGGAATGTAAATCAATACACAGAAAACAAACTTCTGGTTACCAAAGGGGAAAAAGAAGGCAAGGGATAAATTGGGAGTTTGGAATTAACAGATACACCCAACTGTATATAAAATAAACAACAATGACCTACTATACAGCACAGGGAACTATATTCAATATCTTGTAATAACCTGTAATGGGAAAAGAATCTGCAAAAATTAAATATATGCATAACTGCTCAGTGGCTCAGCAGTAAATAATTCACCTGTAAGGCAGGAGACAAGGGAGATATGGATTCAATTCCTGGGTCGAGAGGACCCCCTGGAGGAGGAATGGCAACCCACTCCAGTATTCTTGCCAGGAGACAGGAGCCCTGAGGAGCTCTAGTCCACAGAGTTGCAAAGAGCTGGATAAGACTGAGCGACTGAACATATGTGTCTTTAACTGAATCACTTTGCTGTGCTGAAACTGACAACTGTCAATCAACTATACTCCAGCTTTTTAAAAAAGGGAATGTGACTATGTACTAAAATGCTAAATACTAAAATACTAAATGCTAAAATACTAAAATGAGGGTAGGCCATCAGCTCAGTGCTAGGGCTCACAGAAAATCTTTTAGGATCTCTGTATACCTGAATTCAGCAGAGCCAGAGATTCCTCAAAAACAGCCAAGCCAGGGAGACTTTGCGCTTCTATCCTATTTTTCAGTCCTAGAAACACTATAGACATGGGAAGCAGAAAATATGGTCAAGACTTGATACTCTTCTGACGTGTCTGTGCCTCTAAAGGGCTATCAGAGGTAGAAGCTGAGGTCACCACCTAACACCAGATTACACACCCAGTTAGGAGGCTCTCCAGGGGGTGAACGTGGCTGCCACAGAGGACATGGCAGTACCAGATATTTTCGAAGAGAATAAAAGGTGACTTGAGTTGAAAAGGTGAATGAGATTCAAATAGAAAAAAAAAAGGGAAACTAGAAGATGGAAATAAATATGCACATTACTCCTCAGAATGATCAGCTATAAATATGGATTAGGTACCTGGTCCCAACTAGTTAACGTCCCAAAACATAAAAGCCCTTCCCCAAACAGTACATGATGCCAAGTCCACATTCGGTTTTGTCTTTCATTTTGTAAGTAATCAGCCCCCAAATACCCTGCAAAGGCCTTGATATGGAAATGATTTCTGTTAATGGCTTGGTTAAGGTGACCCATGTCAGGGGTCTGGAATCCTGGCTCCGTCATACACTCAAGGAGAGTCAGAGAAAGCTGAAGGGTCTCTCCACCATTCTGAGGACAGCCTGGATGAAAGTCAACTTCGAAAATGCAGTCTGTTTCATGGATAATTGATTCTTGGTTTGCTATACCTACTCACCGTGGTCAAGGATATATTTCACAATCTCCCCGTTGCCGGTTTTAGCTGCGTAATGAAGGAGTGAACAGTGGTCTGGTCCCTGAATTAGCAGGCTGCCTCCATTTTTATAGCTTTCTATTAGCTGAAAAAGAGACATAGGAAAAGCAACTCAGACAGAGTCCGGAACAAGGAAAACAGCTAGCTGGTGATAAAATAAAAGTAATGTAGCAAACCACAAATGTCTCCAGCCTCAGAGGACACAGGGAAAAGTTAAAGAGATGAAGTAACATTCCTGGGTTGTGTTATCGCTCAAATAGATGGCCAGTGTCTCAGCAAATTCCGGAGAGGGTAAGTGGGTACTGAACAGCCTAAGGGAATGGAAGCATGCTAAATTACTTGTTCCCTTTCTGTTTTTTGTCCTTTTCTGGGCACTGAAAGAATGAAAGAGAGGAGAATGAAAGCTTCCCTATGTAGGCTGAGTGGTCTTGAGGTAAAGAACAATTAAGTCTAAGGCAGAAAGAGCTTGATGTCTGGTAGTGACGCTCCCTCTGCCCTTTAATTTTTTCTGCCCTCTCTAATGAACCCAGCTACTGAGTATAGAAGCTGCTTGCCCCTTTCCAGCATGAGATCGCACTCACAGGCATACAGCCATGTCTGGCTCCTTCCTTCATCCAGATCTGCAGTCTGCCTGCCTTCTATTTATCATCCAACACATACCACGCAACAAGGCTTGAGATGATCCATGGGATGAGAACCAAAAGGGTTCAGAGAATATAGTAGTAGAAACCCAAAAGACTTCCAAAAGACTGGGGGAAAAACAAATTTTGCAGCCTGAGAATTAGGCGCTAAATGAGGACACAGTCTTAAGTTTGTGAAATACTGCACATTACAGAACTGTAATGTAAGTGAAAACGGATCTCTGTTCTCTAAACTGCAATAATCAGAACAAGGCCTTACTGGAGCTTCTAAAATGTAGCTTTAGAATAAATAAGAATCAACTAACCCAGCATGTAATAAGCAAAAGGAATGTGTCTACCACCAAGAAGTTAGATGGCATAGTATTATAAAAAAAAAAAAAACAACTCCTAAGGTCAAAGAGAGTAAACTCATAGTTCATGCATTCACTCAAATACAACTATAGATTAGCCATGTGCCAGATGCCAGGGAAACTAACATGAATACAACCTGATCACTGACCTCTAAGCCTCCAAGATCTCACCCATCCGTGGGAGAGAAAGATACGTAAAGAATTGCACAGAGATGAAGAGGACAATGAGGAGGGTAGCACAAGGCACTAGGAAAACATAAAGTATGGGGTGGAAAAAATCATGGAAGACTTCTTAGAAAACTGATCCAAAAGGAGCAGTTGACTGGAAGTAAGGAACATGGGGTTTCCCAGGTGGCACTAGTGGTAAAGAACCTGCCTGCCAATGCAAGAGACATAAGTGATGTGGGTTCGATCCCTGGGTTTGGAAGATTTCCTGGAGGAGGAAATGGCAACCCACTCCAGTATTTTTGCCTGAAGAATCCCCATAGACAGAGGAGCCTGGCAGGCTACAGACCATAGGGATGCCAAGGGTCAGACACGACTGAAGTGACTGGCGTGCACAAGGAACATACAGAGTTTTCATGCCTAAACTGAGAAGCAAAGGAACAGAAAGGAGTAGCTAAGTGTCTTCCACAAAAATCTAAGAGAGTACTGTTCTGTTCAACTGCACTGTCTCACAATGGCACATCCATTCTTTGTGGGAAGATCCACAAAGTGTTTGGGCTCAGAGTAGCAGACACCCAATCCATCAGCTGCCCCGATTCTGCCTTGCTGTGGTGTTCACAGACACTGTGAACATGAGGTTAGTCCATGGGTACGTGTGCAGCCCAGCGGAAAGGAGCTACTCATGACAGCCTGCATGCAGGGCTGATCCAGGGTCTATTCTCAGTTCACTGGTGTGCCTGGACCTTGCTTCCCCCCTCAACTCTCCCTCTCTCCCCTTCCTTCCTCACTCTCGTGACACACACATGCAGTTGAGTATTTAATATTTATAGTACTTTCTACATGGGACAGAGAAATGCAAGAAGATAAAAAAAAGGAGGGGAAAGTACTTGGGAAGGAAAAGAAAGAAAAAAAGTGAAAAAGAAAAACCCTAAGGCTTTATATTTCACCTCTCAGTAAATCAGATGTTACTGAGTCATTTCTCAGTCATCTAGGAAAGAATTATAACAGAGAATGAAATAAGGCAACCAGCCGAATATAGTGATTTCCCTTCTCTCACATAATTCTCTATTAAGTACCAAAGAAGTGCAGTAACATGCCCAAGGCCCTGGAAAATCTGTGGCCTAGACTAAAAGTATATACAAAACAAAATGAAGTGGTTTCAAAGGTACAGCAACATTTTGCAAAATTTTCTGGCTTAGAAACTCTGCAAGAACAGGGATCAAGTCTGAACTCATGCCTCTTGCTCACAGAATCCAAAAAGGCTTTGTAGGATAATATTTGGTTTAATCCACTGCCTGGAAATGGCATTGAATTCAGGTATATACGCTGCTTAGAGAGCACTTTCCTCTTGTGGACAACAATTCCTAGTAACACTGTGATCTGGACATGGCACAGGCACCATTCCCAGGGAAGTATGTCTGAAGATGACAGTTTAACAAGATGCTGACAACCTTCTCAGCACTTGTTTTCTGCTAGCAACCTGTTAACAAATGTAGTTCTGGGGTTTCTCAGTTTATTCAAAAGGTGTGCTTCCAAAGAACTTGTATACAAGAGCTTGTGTGTGTGGGAAAGTCGCTCAGTCATGTCCTGCTCTTTGCGACCTCATGGACTATACAGTCCATGGGATTTTCTAGGCCAGAATACTGGAGTGGGTAGCCTTTCCCTTCTCCAGGGGATCTTCCCAACCCAGGGATCAAACCCAGGTCTCCTGCATTGCAGGTGGATTCTTTACCAGCTGAGCCACAAGGGAAGCCCAAGAATACTGGAGTGGGCAGCCTATCCCTTCTCCAGGGGATCTTCCCGACCCAGGAATTGAACCGGGGTCTCCTGCATGGCAGGCGGATTCTTTACCAACTGAGCTAGTGCTTCTTAACTTTCTTTTAAGGCTTCTGGGTTCTCAATCTGGGATAGCGCTGAACTTCTTGAGTTAGAGACTGCTTGGGAAAGCTGCTGATAATACAGAGCAGATCAATGCCACTGTGGCCTATACAGGGATACTTTGTGGTGTATACAGGGATACCCGAGCAGTCTTAAGTCCTGACACCTGAAAATAACTTGGGACCAAATATAGCTTTCTGGGTATTCATGGACTATATTATACTTTATAACAAATATTTGTCTCCCTGCTATGTTTAACCTCTAAAGGGACACAGATTAACACTGTATTAACAAAATAGCTATCTTGGGAGAGAACCTTCTATGAAGTTATAGGAACAATCTTAAGAGCTTTACATGAATTTTATATTCAATCCTCACAACAGAGCAAAGAGAGGAGCAATGTGATTCCATTTTACAGATGAAGAAACGGAGGCCCAGAGACAATTAGGTAAATATACAAAGTCTCATATACAGTCCCAGGCAGAGCCCAGATCTGAACCCAGACAGTCTGACTTCAGAATTTGCATTCACTCAGGAAGCAGCAGTTTCCTCTGAACTAAGTTCTCCAGAAAACATGAGCACAGATCACAATATTCAAGGCAGATCAGAGTATCTTCTTCTGATTAACTGTGACCCCCCAGAGTCCAAAATGGCAATAATGTTGCAAGATGTAGGCTCTTGTCTAAGAAAAGTACTTCTGGATATTATCCAGGTTATTCTTATAGATGCATTCATTTAAAGACTTGAGCTGAAAGAAATCTTTAAACTTCAAATATTAGTTCCAGAGAGCAGGAACACGGGGCACTATGAGCACTGTCTCCTGGGGACAGGTATCAGCTGTGACCAGTCAGGGCAGACAGCCCTGTGCCTTTGCGAAGACCCTTTGCTGTTCGGAGACATGGTGATGCTACAAAGACTCCTCTCATCCTCTCTGCTCAATTCTCAAAAAGAACATCCTTCCGCCTTCTACCCAGCTAGCACCCGGGGGATGGGAAATGATAAATGTGATCATGAAAATTTGGTGAGAAATTATGCTGATTTAGAGTTCTTAAAGAATCACCAAAAGTTCTGGTAGGAAGATATCTTACCTTCATAAGATCACCAGCTACTACTGCCTGCAAAATTGCTGTGAAAGACAAAAGAGAGATGTCCCATTAGTAGAAGACCCTCTCATTAAAATACTACAAAGGGCTGGATCCGTATTTTGGAGACACAGTCTACATTTGAGGTAGGGATCAGGGGAGGAGAAGCATGCCAAAGGTTGAAACGTGGGACAGACTGAGGCCTTCTCTTCAGCCCTTCCCTCCCTGGGCATTCATCTTGTACATCATTCTAGAGCCAGCGGGAACTCCCTCCAGCCCTGGTACAGAAAAGCGAACATGAAATGTAGAGTCACACATACTGGATTCAAATCTTAGCTCTGACCATTACAGGCAGTGAAATACTAGGCAAGTTACTTAACCCCTCTGAGCCTCAGTTTCCACATCAGTAAACCAAGTCTCAATTATATCAGATCTTTGAAATGGTTTATTAAATCATATAAATGTTCTTATCTCATCCACTGATGCAGAGTGCCTGATCATTAGGATTATTTCTGCTCCCTGCTTTCTAATTCCTTCTACTTTGTCCTTTGGGGGTTCAAAAATTATTAGTAATTTTGTGTTCTATAATTATAAATAAATACCTACTGCTATGGAAAGAAGGATTAGAAACAATAAAGAAGAAACACATATTTTAATTATGTTCGAAAGAAAGTAATCATACATTTAGCATAAAATTCATTGGTGATTCCTATAGAAAGCACTCTGAAAATTTAAACTAATTGTAAGGCTACTTGGTGGTGGTGGTGGTGGTGATTTAGTCGCTAAGTCATGTCTGACTCTTAAGACCCTGTGGACTGTAGTCTGCCAGTCTTCTCTGTCCATGGGACTCTCCAGGCAAGAATATTGGAGTGGGTTGCCATTTCCTTCTACTTAGCTGAGGGGAAAATAATCTAAGTACCTGTGCAAGTCACGTGGGGTGCAGAAGAAAAATGAAAAAAATATATCTAATAAAAGAGGAAAAGAATATAGGACTGTCTAATGGCGATTATGTTTCCTAAAGGGGACCATTGTATTAGGTCAAAAATGGTCCCTTTAGAAAAATACCTATATTTTAAAATGGCTCAAGAAAAAGATCATTTTAAAGTCACCTCCCCCCCCCCAAATTAGAGGTTTGAAGTTTATTTTTCAAAGTATAATTTTACTCTTATTTCAGAGTCTCTCGTATACAGTTAGCCAAAAATGCAGTATCAAAGCACATGATGCCCTTGACTACCACTGAAAAAAGCCCCTGAAGCTTTCATCATGAGCACTTATGGGCCCTGGGTGATCAGAGGCAAACAGCCACAGGCATGTTCAACTTGTTCAGAGGCCCAGGGCTGAATGCCTTCCCTCTGACCAAAGCAGAAGACTTGGAAACCCTAGGAAATGATGATAGCTGCTCAACCACAGAAGGAAGAAGAGTGAAAAAGGAAGAATAGGAAAGAGAGGGAAGAATGTTTCTTTTCCATAACAAGCTGTTTAAGCTGGGACTTTGATTCCAGGCACAATAATGCTCTTTGTCCATGGTCAGTGTGCACCAATCAGTTGTTGAACTGACAGAAAAGAGTGTTAGTTTCCAGTCGTGTCCAACTCTTTGTGACCCCATGGACAGTGGAGCCCATCAGGCTCCTCTGTCCATGGGATTCTCCAGGTAAGAATACTGGAGTGGGTTGCCATTTCCTTCTCCAGATATAAAAGAAAGCAAAGAGGAAAGGAGTGAAAAGGCAATGGAGATAAAAATAACAGAAAAGGGGACTTTCTAATGGTCCAGTGGCTAATATTTGGCACTCCTAATGCATGGGAGGCGGGGTTCTATCAGAGAACTAGACCCTACGTGTCACAACTAAGAGTTCACATGTCATAACCAAAGATCCTGCATGCTGCAACTACGACCTGGCACAGACAAGCAAACAAATATGTATTTCTAAAAAATAACAGAAAGGGAATTGATAAAATGTTGTATGTCAAAAGAACCTAAGAAACATGTCTCTCTTCCTTTTACAGATGGGACACTGACATTCAGAGGGAAATGACTCTCAGGGCACAGAGACCATGGTAGCTCAACCACCCCACAATGCAGGTCCCTGTGACCATCCCAGGCTCTGTCCTATGCCCTCTGGGAGTTTACCCTGTAGTAGCTCTCCATGGCTCTGTGGGGCCTCAGGAAAATGAAAGGAGATAGTCTTTAACTGGAGTCTAATTCCAATCTCTGCAATTTACTTGTTCAGTCGTTAAGTCATGTCTGACTCTTTGCAACTGCATGGACTGTAGTACACCAGGCTTCCCTGTCCTTCAATATCTCCCAGAGTTTGCTCAAACTCATGTGCATTGAGGCGGTGATGCCATCCAACCATCTCATCCTCTGCCAGCCCCTTCTACTCCTGTCCTCAATCTTTCCCACCCTCAGGGTCTTTTCTAATGAGTCAGCTCTTCACATCAGGTGACCAAAGTATTGAAGCTTCAGCCTTATCATCAGTCCTTCCCAATAGTATTCAGGGTTGATTTCCTTTAGGATTGACTGGTTTGATCTCCTTGAAGTCCAAGGGACTCTCAAGAGTTCTCCAGCACCACAATTAGAAAGCATCAATTCTTCAGTGCTCAGCCTTAAGAAGTCAAACTTTTAAAATCAACTTTCTTATCTAAAGTAAGATTAACAGCTGTCCTGGTCACCTCTCTCTAGTAAAGATGAAGCCAAATAACCACTTTATAAATAGGATAAGTTATACTGACAGAATGGATAGATTATAATATATCTGTGACTATGCATAAGTACATGAAAAACACACACACTTCAGAAGGAGCCTAGCTAGGAGGGTAAATTGGTGTGTGAAGTCAATCGGGCATATCACTGTTCACACAGCCCTCATCAGAGGTGAGGCAGGGCTGCAGGAGCCAGTGAGATGGTGGAGCTTTCCCAAGATGTCAACTCTGCATGAGAGGACAGGGAGAGAGGCAGGGGCAAGTAGGAGCAATTGCAGGTGTGGGAGAATGGCTCAGTTTGGGCTTTTATGCTACAGAATATTCTATATCCATTTAGGAGAGAAAGAAGGTTAGGGTAACTGCCTTGGAAGGCAGTTAGTGAAAAGCCTTGAAAAATGACACACAGATGTTCTTGACAATATAGAGCCTACGTGTTCAAGGCCACATCGAAATGCTTCCCAGACATTTAAAAGAAATAGAAAAAAGAAAGAATAAAGGAGAGAGAAAAGTAGAGCTCGCTAACTCAAAGCACCAGTGAACAGCATTGGTGCATATAAGCAATAAGTCAGGATGATGAAAAAATTCTCCAGGGTAAATACTATTGGAAGAGTACTGAACATGAGTGAATGGATGAATGAGAGGCTGGGGGGAAACTTACTGGCTACCTGTCGAGTTCAAAGGATTGTTGGAGGAGGTGAAGTTAAGCCAACTCTTCCATAATCAGTAGTTTAATTAGCAAAAAGATTTGGGAAATCCTTAAAAGATGAAGGGAAGATACAAACGAGGACTTGGAAGTTAAGAGGTTGTCCGAAGGGCCCTGGGAAGAGGTCTGCATGATCACACCTGAGGCTGGGCTGTCATACATCGTGACTGTGAAGTTCCAGTGGGACCACTCCGGTGAGCACCTCTTCATCCAGAGAAGGGACCTACATTTTTATCCTGTGAGTAATGAGAAGCTAAGGAGGAGTTAAAAGTAGATCAGAGAATCACGTTAATGTCCTGAAATCTGCCAGTTTGATTCAGCCCCTCCTTTCCTATGAACAGAGTTGTGACCTGCTCTCAGCTCATGTGCCCCCAACATGGCAGCTTTCCATTACTACCTCACTCCACTCACAAGCATCTTTATTTATGTCTTTTGGTTTCCTAGCTTCCCAATTTAAAGTCCCCCTGAACAGATTGAAGAGCATATAAAAGAATCATAACCACAAATAATTTCCAATTGTACTGGAGATGGAAAACATGAATATTTATTTTTAAGTCAAGCAATACACTCAAGGGTAGCTATTATGCAAACATTATTAGGCACAAGGCTCTCTTCTCTGCTGATTAATGCCCTTTCCTCCTGAACACTGTTGTTTAAGATTTCCTCTGCATAAACAGAGCTTGAATCCATTAGTATTCAACTCCAGATAATAACCTTCTGAAAGATCAAGCTTAAAAACAAATAATGAATTGTTATGATTACAGCATTATTTTTTTATTATTTCTTCAGCTCAGAGCCTGCCTTCTGGCCTTTTCCAAAACTCCTTCCTATAGGGTAAACAGTGCTCTCAAATTTAAAAGAACAAGGGAAGTTAGATGGCCAGTGGGATACAGGGGTTATTGGGTAGATGACTACTAAGTTTCCTGGACAGTTAAATCACATAAACTTATATAGCCAGACAGGAAAGTAAGGGGGTAGAGGACTGAAAAGTTTGTCATTTTCAGAGAGTTTAGAAGTTGAATCATTAGCTCATAAGAAATGACTTATTTTTCCTTCAGCACTGTGCCCTCTGATCAACTGCTAAACAGTAAACATCCTGACAGAAAGCTGGAATGGAAAGTCAGGACTATGGGGAAGGAGCCAAGTGTCTTCCTCTCACAGCCTCTCTTTCTTCGGCTTGGATTCCCAAAAGCCCAGACATCCTTAGACATCTGTGCACAGAAGGAAAAAAATGACTCCCTCCCGTCATGAGGGGGAGAAAATAGTCCATGGGCCACTGGCTGGCCCACCTGTTTCTGCCAGGCCAGGCCCTGTTCCAAGCTGACTGTACAAAATAAACTCCATCTTCTCAGGAAGTTGATATTTTGGCAAGAAATCCAAACTAGGAAGGGATATATTTTAACTGAGTTTAGAACCATATTGCCTGAGTTTAAGGCTTGTGAGCCTGGCAGGCTACAGTCCATAGCATTGCAGAGCCAGACACTACTGAACTGACTTAGTACGCCCACACATCATTAACTAGCTATAACCTTGGGCAAGTTAGTTTAACCAAGCTTCAGCTCTCTCATTAGGAAAATGAAGATAAAATCAGTTCTTTCGAGACTCTGCCTTGCAAATAAGCTCAAGGAACAGTGACTCTGA